GCAAGGGACGAGGGAGGAGGGGACGGGAGGAGGGGAGGACGAGACGAGCGGGAACAGAGCAACATAGGGTGGGTGGGCAGGACAGGAGAGACGGGACGAGCACGGGAGGGACAGCGAGCCCAAACGTAAGACAGAGGTGTAGGGTCAGGGGACAGCAGAGGAGACACAGGAGGGGAACGAGGAGGAAGACGGGCCGGAGATGAGTCTGGCGGCGGGAACACAAGACCGTAGACAGGAAGGTCAGCAGGCGGTGGGGGAGACACCGTCGCACGGTCGGGGGGAGGAAGGCCGAGCAGGCGGAGAGCGGAGACCGGCGGCGACGGCTGCTGCGGCGGCGACGACGGCTGGGCCGGAACTCTCGGACCAGCAGAGGCAGAACGATCGTCGGCACAACACTCAACTGCAGCACCCCCAGAACCAACACCCCCAAAGCGAGAACCCCCTCCAACACCAGCGGCACCTCGAGAACCGCCGGACGAACACCCTCCTCCACACCAGCACCCCAAGGGACCAAAAGCGGCGGCGGCAGTGGCGGCGACGACTGCGGCGGCGACGGCTGCGGCGGCGGCGACAGCGGCGACGGCTGCGGCGGCGGCGACAGCGGCGACGGCTGCGGCGGCGACGCCGGCGGTGGCTGCAGCAGGGTCGGAGACTGCGACAATGGGGGCGGAGGCACCGGGGAAGGGGGACGCGGCAAGGACAGACCGGGGGTACCACCAGAGTCAGCAGACTCCTCAACGGGGACAACCGACGGGAGGGGAATGACGTGAGAGACACCAGACGGGGCAGGACGCGGCGGAGGAGGGGGGCAGGGGCTACCGGGAGAGAGGGAGCAAGGAACAGGGGGGGGGCAACTGGGAGACCTCGGTAAGGGAAGCGTCGGTAGAAGGAGACAGACTCGTCAAAGGTGACGTCACGAGAGTGGAGGAAGCGGTGAGACGGCGGGTGATAGAAAAGCCAGTCAGACGAGTCCAGGGGGAAACTGAGGAAGACACAGTGGACAGTGCGGGCAGTGAGCTTGTCCGTGCCAGAGGCAAAAACGTGAGCAAGGCAGCCCCAGACGTGGAACGCAGACGCGTCACCGGGGGACCCGGTCCAAAGGTGGGTCAGCGAAACCTGTGGCCGCTGGGAGCGTGGCCACAAGTTAAGCTGGTGAGCAGCGTAGCGAACAGCGAACGGCCACAGAAAATGGGGGACATCGGTATGGATCATGGAGGTACGGGCGACCTCCATGACCAAGCCAATGCGGCGCTCAGCAACCCCATTCTGCTGTGGCGAGTCCGGCAAGGTGTACGACTGGGTGATGCCCTCCGCACGACAGAACTGTCCAAGCCGACCAGAGGCGAACTCGCCGCCACGGTCGGAGTGGAGACACAACACGGGGAGACCGCGGTGGAGACGCGCAGCCACAACCCACGGGAGAAGAACGTCGGGCACGTCGGCCTTCCGCTCCAGGGGAAACACCGGGGTGTAGCCCGTGTAGTCGTCGACGAGCACAAGGAAGTAGCGCTCACCGCGCGGTCCGGGGACGGGGGCAGGGCCCCAAACGTCCAGGTGCAGGGTCTGAAGGGGGGCAGTAGCAGGGCACAGCGAGGAGGAGTGAGGAGCGCGGCGGAGGCGACCCTCGACGCAAGGCGTGCACGGTGGCGCAGTCAAGGGAGGAAGGTCAGGGAGGGACGCGGGGAGACCTAAGACAAGACCGTGCTTGGACATGTGACGCAGACGCGGGAGAGCAGGGTGACCTAAGCGGTGGTGCCAGAGAAGGGAGGGGTGAGTGAGGGACCGATACGAGCAAGCTGCAGCGACCTGGGAGGACGCACCAACCGGGGGGGAAGCGGTGTCTAGGGTAAACATATCGGACACCGGGTCCCGAGGGAACATTGCAAGGGGGGAACGTGAGACAGCCTCAGAACAGACAGCGAACCGCTCATGCCCGGGGAACGTGGTGGTGACGCCGAGGTCCTGGAGACAGCCGATGCCAACCAGGTTCCTGGAGAACGAGGGAATGTGGAGGCCAGTAAGGGAGCCCGAGGGAACTGCCGGACAGGGAAGGGACGTAGAACTGCGCGCGACGACAGGAGCTGCAGAGGGGTCAGCGAGAGAAACAACAGCAGGTGCAGCAAGCAGCGTGAGCGTGGAACGGTCGCGGAAGAAGCAGGCAGAAGCACCGGAGTCGAGAGTGAAGGACAGCGACGCAGTGGCAGAGGCCGGGGACGGAGCCGGTGCAGCGACTAGACTAGGCAACCTAGGCAGTCCTACGCTTGACGCAGCAGGAGAGGCTAAGCTACACAGTGGTGCAACACCTAAACTAGAGAACACAGGGTAATAAGATCCAGCAAAACTAGAAGCGTCAGAATACAAAGCATGCAAGGCAGCACCTATCTGATCCATGTCTAACTCAAAGATCGGCACGCCCTGGCGGAGCAGGCTGTGCCAGTCGGGGAGGTCCGGGGCCGGGCCAAAGCGACGACGAAAGAGATTGTCGAGGTGGCGGAAACAGCGGGCGGTCGGGTGCGGGCGGCGGCACAGAGTGCCGCGAAGAGGCCCGGTCTGAAGCTGGTACTGGCAGGTGACAGCACCGGAGCCGCCGGTAGACGCTAAGCTGCGCGGGCCGCCACCACGGCCACTACCTCCGGAGGTGCCGGGCCAACCAGGCGGAAGACGGGCCCACTGCTGCGGCGACTGCTGCTGGGACGGTGACTGCTGCTGGGGCGGTGGCTGCGACTGGGGCTGCTCCTGCTGCGGCTGGGGCTGCTGCTCCTGCCTACCAGTGGTAGTCCCCGCAGGCGGACTACCGTCACCAGCACCACTTGCGCCACCACCCCTACCTCCCTGGCGACCACGGCCACCGCGGCGCGAGCGCTGCTGCGGGTGGACCGCACCAGCCGTCCCGGTGAGAGGGGCCGCCGAGGCGACCGCAGCCGAAACGTCAGTGAACGTACACTGGGAGGGGGCACAAGCGTGAAAGATAGAAACTGCCAGCGCACCGCTCGACTGAGCGATAGTGCGCTGGCGAGTCTTGATCTCTGTGAGGGTATCGACAAAGGTGGTAAGGGTGAGGTCTTCCGGGTGCTGGCTAAGGAAGTGATCGCGAGCACTAGCGAAGCAGTTTGGCAGGCGCATGGCGATAAAATAGAGCGTCATGCAGAAAGGGGGGGGGAGCGCAATGAGCTGGGCAGCAGTGCTGGCAGTGCGATAGCGGGTCTCTAGGGCACGCGGGTGAGTGGCAAAGTCTGCGACGGTAGGGAAAGCTGCAAGGTCTGGGAAAAGCATAGGGAAGAGCAGGCGGCCAGCAGAAGCAGCCGCGGGTGTGGAATAGCGAGCAATAACGGCGTCTAAGTAAGCTTTGGCCGTCTCAATAGTAGCAAAACGCGAGCGCTCAGAGACAAGGAGGGCGTGGCTAATGGCAACCTGAGCGACTGCATCGCGGGAGTCCCAGACCGCACGGGCAAGCGCAGCAGTAGAGAAGGTCTCACGGTCATCAGAGGAGGGATCAGCAGGGAGGGGAGCAGGTGCGGGGGGGCGAGGGAGCAAGCCGTTGACATGGACAACCAAAGAGTGGCCATCCTGGCGCTGACCTGTAAGGTGGCGGCAGAGATCGGAGAGCCAGGCGGCGAAGTCAACCGCATGGCCCTCGGAGTCCAGTCGGAGCACGAACTCCGCCATCGTGCAGGGTCAGCGGCACAGCTCCACAGGAACACAGCGACAGCCCCCTCCAGCACGGCGGCCGCGAAGCGCCTCAGCACGGACGAGCAGAGGAGACGGAGCCCGAGGCGGCACGGCAGGACGAGCCGGGGCGAAGGGGCCAGGCAGGTGCGGTGGGGCCAGGCAGGTGCTGGCGCGGCCAGGCAGGCGCGGCGGGGCCAGGCAGGCGCGGTAGGGCCAGGGTGGCGCGGCGGGGCCAGGCAGGCGCGGCGGGGCCAGGCAGGCGCGGCGGGGCCAGGCAGGCGTGTCGGGGCCAGGCAGGCGCGGCGGGGCCAAGGAGGCGCGGCGAGGCCAGGCAGGCGCGGCGGGGCCAGGGAGGCGCGGCGGGGCCAGGCAGGCGCGGCAGGGCCAGGCAAGTGCGGCGGGGCCAGGCAGGCGCGACGGGGCCAGGCAGGCGCGACGGGGTTAGGCAGGGCGCGACGGGGCCAGGCAGGCGTGTCAGGGCCAGGCAGGTGCAGCGGGGCCAGGCAAGCGCGGCGGGGCCAGGAAGGCGCGGCAGGGCCAGGGAGGCGCGGCGGGACCAGGCAGGCGCGACGGGGCCAAGCAGGGCGCGACGGGGCTAAGCAGGGCGCTACGGGGCTAGGGTGGCGCGACGGGGCCCAGGAGGGGCGCGACGGGGCCCAGGAGGGGCGCGACAGGGCTAGGGTGGCGCGACGGGGCCCAAGAGGGGCGCGACGTGGCTAGGAGGCGCTACAGGGCTAGGAGGCGCGACAAGGCCTAGCTAGGGTACGGGCGGAAGCGGTAGGTGGGGGATGCTAACCTATGCGTGATACCATGTTAACGTGAGAACGAATGATGACTGGAAGTGGAAACCTAGAACAAATACTAGTTGGTTGTACTCACTAGAAGCATACCTCAGTCTAGCCTATAACATCTACATAGCTAATATGTATAAGTTGACAGGTGGGAGGGCGGGGGGGGGGGGGGGGGGGGGGGGGGGGTGGGGGCGCGGGGGCGGGGGGTTTGGGGTCTCAATCCGTTACAGAGTGCGCCACTACGAGAATGGCCCGTAAGTATTCATTAAAAAAAAACCCTTTACGCAAAGGAATCGATTGAAATCTTTCCCGTTAATTGGACAGATTCGGAAAAAAATCGCACCCTAGAAAAACGGAATCGCTGGAAAAAATACCCTTAATTTCTCGACATTAAGGGTAATTACCCTGTTAACGAGAGGCCTGGTGTGATGGGATGCTGCACTTGATTTAGATAGGGGAAACAGCACTACAGTGGGTCTGATCATTGCATTTCGTTCCTTTCGTTACTACTTACACTAGCAACTTTGTGGACATGCTAGTGCCAAAGGTGTGATTGATAAAAAGTGCACTGGATACAAATCATAAGGAAGCCGAGATGATGGGAAGATCACATGCCTTGAAAAAGGTGGAGGAGCACTCCAATGAGTCAAGAATAACCGCTTCCAGCACAACACCATTTGTGCTGCTGCTGCTACTACTGTCAGTGCATCCGCCATTACTGCCACAATCTGGTGCACCAGACACTAGTGCAACAGGTGCAGTAGCTGCTACTGCTGCAGCATCAGCACATGAAGAATTTGATTCTGTGCTTGGGGGAAGTTCCTTGGCTTGGGGTGGAGGCAGCACAGCCAGCAGCTCAGCCTTGGAAAAGATTCCAGTGCAGACCCCGATAGGCTTGGCACCACCGAACCTGGCAGCAATGATGTCATTCGGCTGCAGGTACGCACAGTGGGGAAAAGTTGATCGGGCAGGTAACAACGCAGCACACGTGGGGTGGAAAGGAAAGGGTATGAAGAAAGAGAGGGTGGAAGGGTTGGGCGGGAGTTGAAAGCAACGGAGAGGAAAGAGGGAAAAGGTAGGATCTTGATAGTGCAAGGATGGAAAGGTTGGGGTAAGTGAGTGGAAGGAAAGGAGGAGGAATTGAATTCATCTCACCGTGTCACCAACATGAGCATGCAGCCTGAAGGGCGGACCTGGTATTCTCTCCTCTGCCCGCTGCCTCGCTATCCGAACTAGCTCTCCCCGATCCATATGGTCGCTGCCGAACCTGCACAGGCCAAGCAGGAATGGAGGAGGAGGAAGGGGGGTGGGGGGGGGAGGGCGTAGAATAATGGCCCAATGGTCCATGCTGGGAAATGACACATCAGGCGTTAGGAACAATGATGATGACGACGATCATGATGATGATAATGGCGTGGTGAAAAGGGGCTCGGCATCAAGTCAAGCCCTTCCATCTTAAGTTATGCTACGCCCCCCAGACTGCTTTCTCAAACCATGGCATGGTGTGAAGCCTCTCAAACCATGGCATCGTGTGAAGCATCTCAAACCATGGCATCGTGTGAAGCGTCTCAAACCATGGCATCGCGTGAAGCGTCTCAAACCATGGCATCGTGTGAAGCGTCTCGAACCATGGCATCGTGTGAAGCGTCTCGAACCATGGCATCGTGTGAAGCGTCTCAAACCATGGCATCGTGTGAAGCGTCTCAAACCATGGCATCGTGTGAAGCCTCTCAAAACATGGCATCGCGTGAAGCGTCTCAAACCATGGCATCGTGTGAAGCCTCTCAAAACATGGCATCGCGTGAAGCGTCTCAAACCATGGCATCGTGTGAAGCCTCTCAAAACATGGCATCGCGTGAAGCGTCTCGAACCATGGCATCACGTGAAGCGTCTCAAACCATGGCATCGTGTGAAGCGTCTCAAAGCTAACCATTACCCCCCAATGTGTGGTGCGGTGAAGAGGGCATCGACGTCAAGCCCCTCCATCTTGAGCCACGCGATGTCCTCCAGATTGCCCGTCACCTGCCATGCAATGCCATGTACTGCCAAATGAGCCCACGTACAGCCACGTTCAGTGCAAGCATACATGACATTACCTGGAATCGCATGGCATGGCATGGTATGGTATTTGCAGTGCTCAGGGTGAAATCAGTAGAATTATTTCGAGCCATATCGCAGTTACATTACATTTGACCAAGAGGCACGTGCCAAGACACGTGTCAAGCCCAGGGTTACACCAGCAACCATCGCCACTTCCCCTATTTTCCTCACCAGTCCCACCACCACGTTGGGCTGCACGCCCGTGAGCTCCTCCAATAACGTGCGGACACCTGGCAGCAGCGCAATGCCGTCCGCTGAGTCCCCCGCGTGCTCCCTGCAGTACTGCAGCATGGCTTCGCACAGCACTGGCAGCTGAGGCTCGCTTATCTGCAGGAAGTAGGGGGCAGAAAGGCACAAGACCAACCCTGAGCGCACTGGGGTTTGCCTGTAGGGAGTGAGAGGTCGTCGCTGACCCTCAGCATGGTCGTCTTCCCCACATGCTCCCTCCCAGCAGCACTGCAGCATGGCTTCGCGTATTCCCTGAGCATGCTCGCTGATCTGCAGGGAGTGATGGGCGGAAAGACACAAGGTCGCTGCATCCCCCCCTCGCAGGCTCCCTGCAGTACTGCAGCATGGCTGCACACAGCACCGGCAGCGGCGGCTCACTGATCTGTGGGTGGTGGGGGCGCAATAAGGGCAAGCAGCGGATCATGTGAGGCGGAAGGCAGAGCCTGAGCATCGCCCGCATGCTCCTGGCAGTGCTGCTGCAGCATGGCCGCACACAGCACTGCCAGTTAAGGCTCGCTGATCTGCAGGCGTCAGAGGTAGGGAGGGAAGGAAGGAAGGAAGGAAGGAAGGAAGGAAGGAAGGAAGGACGGAAGGAAGGACGGAAGGAAGGACGGAAGGAAGGAAGGACGGAAGGAAGGGGAAAGGTGAGCGCTGAGGTGCGAGGGGAAAGCAGGGCCCTGAGTATCCCCTCTGTGCTGGCACTCGGGGCTGCTGAGGATCCCCTCCGCACTCCATTGCTCTCCCCGCTGCTTTTGAGGCGCCTCAAAACTCACTCCATTGCTCTCCCCGCTGCTGCCCGAGACAGTGCTGGCAACTTGGGCTGCCGATTTGCAGGTGTAAGGGGAAGTGAATGACAGTGCCCAGTGGAATGTCCCCCGCAATGCCAGCGTTGCTTGAAACAGCTTTATCCGTCTACCAATCGATCCAATAACGAGTACACCATCACCGCAACGAGTACACCCATCTCCGCAATTTAGAATAGTAGAACTCGAGGGTGTTCACAGCTATCAGAATTCACATGTCTGGGAATACCGTAGAACTCGAGGGTGTTCACGAGAACCCCCTATCTGAGTATCAATACACGCAGTAACAAGTACACCCACCAAAGTAATGATGAATGATGCGCACAGAGATTCACACTCACATCTCTGGGAATGCCGTAGCACTCGAGTGTGCTGGTGATAGCAGCCGGATCCGATCCTGTGCAGTGCACAACAGGCAACACTCACGTGTCTGGGAATGCCGTAGAACTCGAGGGTGTTGATGAGGACAGCCTGATCCGTGCTGCCATGGTGCTGAGGGGAGACAAGGGGCAGGGGATAGTGAAGGGGACCAAAGAAAAGGGTTAGGCGGGAATGAGATGACATGTCATGCTCAATTGATGCATACAGCCATTGTCTCGGGTGTTTCGGGGTGTTTCGGGGTGTTTCGGGGTGTAAGACTCTCAGAGTGCTGTCATCGGCACCGGCATTCCACTCGTGTGGAGCTCAGAACGTGCATGCATCAATGCATCAATTGTGTGGAACCTCCGATTCTCGGCTCTTCACCCAAGCTTCTGTTACGGCATCGAGTCCCCCTCGCACCTGAATGGGGTCGATGGTGCCTTTCGAGTCGACTCAAAAGTCAACCCGTGGCTCCCGAACACTCTCCGCATGGCATCTACGGCCGTCATGCTACGACCGTCATGCTACAACCGTCATGCTAGCAGCGCTGCTTGCTACCCCGTACCTGGATCGCGTCTATGGTGCCGTGGATCCCGAACACTCTCCGCATGGCATGCTCGAATCAAAGGCCGTCAAATTGTGACCGTTAGGCTGGTAGCACCCTCTCGCACCTGGATCGCGTCTATGGTGCCTTGGATCCCGAACACGCTTTTCATGGCGTGCTCGAACGCGCGCTTGTGGAGCTTGTTGGACTCCGACCCGACACATTTGGCACGCACGGCCAGAGACACACCTGAATGGCGTCTATGGTGCCTTGAATCCCGAACACTCGCTTCATGGCGTGCGCGAACGCGCGCTTATGGAGCTTGTTGGACTCCGAGCCGACCGAGTGGATCAGCGTGCCGTCCACGTCGAACGTGATCAGCACCCGCGAATCAGCGGCGTCGGCCACGTCAGCCGTCTGCGCCACGGCAGCGCTCATAGTTATTTGCTCGCGGAAGCGCGGAAAGGGGTGGATTGGGCGGGGTCGAATGTACCGTGACGGGCCGCTGCGGGAGGGAAGCGCGGGACGGAATTGGGGGATACTAGTGCGAGAACAGTGCCGTGCGACGACGGAAATGACAGTGCGAGCAGGCGTGATTGGGTAATGGACGGATAGCGGCAGGCTGACTGGATTGGAACGCATCGAGGCCGTCGCAGCAACGTGACTCGTCGTAGCGTTAACGACTGGTGGGACGGGAATGGGATGAGCTGCAGGATAGACTAGTATGGGATAGTGGGACGTTTTGTATCGGAGAATGGATCTGACAGGATCATGTGGTGCTTGGGGTTCTGAAAACGATGACTGCCAAGAAATATCTTCGTTGCAAAGTGGTTCGGTAAACCAACAATTGAACTGCGGTATAAGTAGATGTAAATTCATGTTCTGTAGCTTCCAGAAGGGCATTCGCGTGGCAGCATGGATGCCCGTCAGTCCAGCTGCACGGCAGGAAACGTTTTCCGTTTCCAAACGGAAAACGTCATGCAATCGCCATCTGTATGTACTCGCCCCCCGTTCTCCTTGAAGTCCGTAGACTGTAGCTGGTTCTATGCCGCGAGTTGCGACGCCTCTTGTCGCCTGAGAGGTATCTATTCATGGCGGCGCGGCGGATGACTTATCCGCCCGATGCCCTACTGCTCGCCGCGTTCCCCGAACAACCTCCCGGAATAGGGCCTGTTAACGACCGACGTACGGTGCAGCACTAGATTCGCCAGGGACTAAGCAGCATAGTTGACAGCATCATGAGCAGCGCGTTCGCGAGCTAAGAGCAACGCCTCTGCGAGCTAAACGTGTTCTGTTGTCCTCCGAGGTTACTTGCCGTAGGGTAAGGCCATTAAGTAGGTCTCTGGCCCTCGCACCAGGATAAATACCATTCGCGAGTGACGGACAGTCGCGACCGCATGTTGGTTCCTTGGCGTCGGTTGGCTCCCATTCCCCCCGAGACCATTTTTGAGGCGCCTCAAAAATAGACTCCTTGGCGTCGGTTGGCTCCCATTCCCCCCGTGACCTAGAGGCCTGGCGTCACAGATTCGCGGCGATTTAAAGCATTCACACAGACGACTTACACCCCCCTAGGGAATTCAGATTCCGTCAGCGCCAGCAATGTCATACCCGGGCCGCCATAGTTCCGATCGAGGCGACTCGGCGGGCAGTCCAACCGACGCGCACAGCACCAGCTGGACCAATGGCGCGGGATCCGCGCTGCTGCCACGTGTACGCACACGTGGCAGCCCCGCGGAGGCTACAGCACCGAGCAAATCGTTATCCGCGAGCGACCACGTGGCACCGCTCCCATCGTCCCCCGTGGCAGGAGATCCCCCATTCAAGAGCACCGAGTCGGACGTGAACGCTCCTCCACCTGACCATCCTCCTCGGAATAGCGCTGATCCACTCCCGCCCACTCGCGCTCCTAATCTACCCACTCGCGCTCCTGATCTACCCACTCGCGCCCATACCATGAACGACGCTCTTACCTCGTCTGCTCTCCCCGCCTCTACCCTCCCTCCCTCCGCTCTCGCGTCGTCCGCGAATCACGTTCATGCCGTCCAATCCGCGCCGACCGACCTTGCCTTGGAATCCGGGAAACGCGGGAAGCCACGTAGGCATGTCCCCGGCCAGATGACGCCTCTCGCGGCGCTCCTCGGGTCGCCGCAAACTGCGGGGATCGCGCTCTCGGGTCCCGACGCGTCGCCTCCCCCCATGCTACTCCCCTCCCCGCCGGTTTCCCCCGCTGGGGAGTCCGCGCTCCCTGATTCCGCCTTCGCGGAAGGGGGGTTACCCCGCGGGGGGTCGTGGCGGGTCTCTGAAGCTGGCGGCCGGGCGGGGGGAAGCGGAGCGGGGGGGACGGGCGGAAGGGGAGTGGACTCCGCGCAAGAGGTGGTAGCAGTGGCGGGCGCGAGGGGGACGGAAGGGGAAGCGGGGGGAGCGGAGAGGGAAGTTGGGGAGGCGGGGTGTTTCTATGAATCGGTGCGCGTGCCCCGTGACGTGGTGCGCGTGTGGCAGGACTGCTGGCGTGGCGCGTGGCAGGCTGACGTGGAGATCCGATCCGCCGTGGATGGCGGGCTGGTGCTGGCGCAGGGCGCAGTGCTGGTGAGTTTTTAGTCGTCTCAAACAATCCCTACGCAGGGCTGGTGAGATGATCAACAGGCGCAGGGCTGGTGAGATGATCAACAGGCGCAGGGCTGGTGAGATGATCAGGGGCTCGTTGCATGTGGGTGCATGCTGCCCTCGGACATGATGGCCACACAGCAGGTGGCCTCACAGCAGGTGGCCACACAGCAGGTGGGTACACGTGGAGGGCAAAAAGGAGTTCTATTGGAAGCTTACGGGCTTTATTTAACGTGCCGTCCTGCCCCCTCTCCCCTCACTCCCCATTCTCTACCCCCTCACTTCAGGCCGCCCATTCCCAGGGCCTTGAGCGCATGTTGGCAGGGGCGATGCTGCGGCAGGCGCGGCCGCCATGGGTGATAGTGGTGAGGGGCGTGCCGGTGGAGGCGATCAGAGGCGTGGTCCAAGCGCTTTACTGTGGCACGTGAGTGAGGGCCTTCCTCTCCGATCCTATTCCTGTGAGAGTGTTTCTCACCGCCATGTTGCTTTAAATGGTGGGTGATAGTGGGGAGGGGCGTGCCCGTGGAAGCTATCTGAGGGGAGGGAGGGGCGTCCAGGCGCTGTACTGCGGCACGTGAGTTGCTCGTTTGCTTGGCGCAAGGATTTTTTAGTCGACTCAAAAATCACCTGAGGGGTGGTTCAGGCGCTCTATTGCGGCTCGTGAGTTGCTCGTTTGCTTGCCCCAACGATTGCTCATTGGCTTGTAGCCAAATGGTGGGTGATAGTGGTGAGGGGAGCGCCGGTGCAGGCCATCAGGGGCGTCGTCCAGGCGCTGTGCTGCGCGGCACGGGAGTCTGCGCCTTGCCACTGCCTTGTGTCGTAGTGTTTCTCCTTGGGCTGACCGATCAAAATCGGTGATGGTGGTGAGGGGAGCGCCGGTGGAGGCCGTCAGGGGCGCCGTCCAGGCGCTGTGCTGCGCAGCACGTGAGTCCGGGCAAGTTGTGAATGCTTCTAGTTCGCTCGTCGATTGCGAAATGTGTTATTCAAGCAAGCAAGCAGCCATCCTGTCAAATTTCCACTCCCCTCGCCCCCAAACTGCAGCATGGACCACACATTAATGGATCGCCATATCCTTCCATCTGCTCCTGCTGGCGCACTCCCTCTTTCGCCCCTCCCCTTCCCCCTCAACTTGATTGCACCTTGCTTTTCTCACCCTCTTCTCACCCTTGATTCACAGCATGGACGACGCGTTAATGGACCGCCACATCTTCCACCTGCTCCTACTCGGCCACTCTCTCCCCATCCCCCTCCTCAAGTCCCTCTGCCTCGAAGCCCTCCGCTCCCGCCTCCTCTCCCCGGCCAATGCCGTCGACACACTTGTCCTCGCGCGGCTGGTCGGCTCGCGCGCGCTGCAGGCGCTGACTCAGCAGTACATTGTGCGGCACCACGCTGATGTGGCGCTGACGGACGCATGGGCCATGCTGAGTCAGGAGTATCCGGACGTGAAAGGGATGCTGGAGGAGATGGTGGAAGCGAGGAGGAGGGTGAGTGATGAGATTGGGAGGAGGATGAGGAGGAGGGGTGAGTGATGGGGATGGGAGTGGGATGAGGAGGAGGGGTGAGTGATGGGAATGGGAGGAGGATGAGGAGGAGGGGTGAGTGATGGGGGGAACAGGAGTGATGGGAGAAGGATGGGGGTGAGGGGTGGGGTGACGTTTGGTTGACTTGAGAGGCGCGAGTCACACGTGAGAGTGGGTCACTGTCTACATGTGAAAGGGATGCTGTGGATATGGTGGAAGCAGGGTGAGTGAGGAGGGGAGACTGTGAGAGACACAATCTTTCCTCTCGTCGTCTTCCCGTCTGCCTTTTCTTCTGTATGTTCCCTTGTCCCCACTGTCTAGTTTTGAGGCGCCTCATCCCATTCCCTTCACTCACCCCTCCTCCTCATCCTTCTCCCATTCTCATCACTCACCCTCCGCCTCAACACTAAAATTTTATTCTGTATGTTCCCTTCTCCACACTGTCTCTCCCCCTTCCTCTTCTCCCTCCTCCCTCACAGTGCAACGCCAGCGGCGGCTGGCAGGGCGAGGAGGGGTGGGCGCGGCAGCAGGTGCAGCAGGCAGGGCGGGCATTGGAAGTTGGAGCACATGCTGCCCCTTCGCCCTTCTGCTCTCGTTTCCTTCTCTTACGCATTCTCAATCGCCCCTCAATTGCCCCTTGCCCTCTGTCATGTGCCATCACTGCATAGAAACAGTTGGCAGGGCGAGGAGGGGTGGGCGCGGCTGCAGGAGCAGCAGGCAGTGCAGGCCCTAGAGCACATGCTGCCCCTTCAGTCACCCCCTTCTCGCACACAGCCCCCACTCCCCATTCCCCACTCCCCATTCCCCATTCCCCATTCCCCATTCCCCATCCCCCTTGCCCCTTACCCCTTGCCCCTTGCCCATTGCCCCTTGCCCCTTGCCCATTGCCCCTTGCCCCTTGCCCATTGCCCCTTGACCCTTGCCCCTTGCCCCTTGCCCCTTGCCCATTGCCCCTTGCCCCTTGCCCCTTGCCCCTTGCCCCTTGCCCCTTGCCTCTCACAGCGCAACACCAGCTGGCAGGGCGAGGAGGGATGGGCGCGGCAGCAGGTGCAGCAGGCAGTGCGCGCCCTGGAGCACATCTGCAACGACGGTAGCTGTGCCTCCGCATCCGCATCCGCCTCCGCCTCCGCCTCCGCCTCCTCTCCCCCTCCCGCTGCCCCCCCCGCTGTGCCCCCCTCTGCCTCTGCTGTGGAGGGTGAGGGAGTGAGGGCGGGGAGGGGGGAAGGAGAAGATGGTGCAGAGGGAGGAGGAGCAGCAGAAGTGACAGACGGGGAGGAGAGAAGCCCAGATGGTGCTGGTACTGCTGCTGCTGCAGACACTCCAGGTCAACAAGGCCAAACAGGTCAAACAAGCCAAATGGACCCACACACTCTCCCCTCTGCGAGCGCACTCGCGCCCACGCTCTCCTCCCTCTCCTCCTCTCAATACCAGGGCGGCAGTGGTACCCTCTCCACCCTATCCTCCTCCTCCTCCCTCCTCTCTGTCCACCCCATGTCCCCCCCAACTCCCGCCACCCCTGCCGCTCCCCCCACCCCCTGCGGCCTGCCTAAGTGCCGGCCGGTGGAGGGGTTGATCCGGCACTTTGCTAAGTGCGGCGTGAAGGTGTCGGGCGGGTGTGCGAGCTGCAAGGTGGTGTGGCAGCTGCTGGAGCAGCACTCAACCGCGTGTGAGAAGCAGAGGGGGTGCCGCGTGCCACTGTGCAGGTAAGGGGTGCTGCTGCCACTGCTCTGTATGACAGTAAGGTGGTGCAAGGTGGTAAGCGACTTATGGAGTCTGAGCGTGCATGCTGCAAGCTGGTGTGGTGGCTGCTGGTGCTGGAGCAGCAGTCAACCGCGCATGTGAGAAGCGAAGGGGTTGCCGTGTCTCACTGTGCAGGTAGGCGTTTGGAGCATTCTGAGGCCCATCAGAAGCTGGTTCTTCTCCCTGCTACTCCTCGAAGAAGCCTTTCCCCATTAGAAGCTGGTCCTTCATGCCTCTCTGCGTACCGTCATTCCCCCTCCCTCCCTGCACAACATGTCTCAACCTCGACCCATGGTTGTCTCCCTGCCCCACCTGCTGGCGGCTCCGTGATTGTCACACATCTGCCTTTGAGCCAACTTAAAAGCGCCTCCAGGCTTGTCATACATCTCCACAGGCAATTCTGGATCTAGTGTGCTTCTGAGTCGTCGCATAGGGCTTTTGAGTCGACTCAAAAGCAATTCTGGATCTAGTGTGCTTCTGAGTCGACGCATAGGGCTTTTGAGTCGACTCAAAAGCAATTCTGGATCTAGTGTGCTTCTGAGTGGACGCATAGGGCTTTTGAATCGACTCAAAAGCAATTCTGGATCTAGTGTGCTTCTGAGTCGACGCATAGGGCTTTTGAGTCGACTCAAAAGCAATTCTGGATCTAGTGTGCTTCTGAGTCATCGCATAGGGCTTCTGAGTGGACGCATAGGGCTTCTGAGTGGACGCATAGGGCTTCTGAGTGGACGCATAGGGCATTTCCTGCAAGCCATTCTCTTTCCCGAGTCTTTGACCCGTGCTTATTCTCCCTGCCACGCCTGCTGGCGCCTCCATCCTTGTATGCCTGTCGTGCATCCCCACAGGCAACTCAGGAGCCAACATGCCTTTTGAGTTGATGCATCAGCTCGTCCTGCTCCCCATCTAGATTCACACCATGCGCCTCCATCCTTGTATGCCTGTCGTGCACCCCCACAGGCAATTCAAGAGCAAGCAGCACCAAGAGCACGGCACCGGGATTAAGGGCAAGGAGAAGCTTCCAGCAGCAGAGAATGCAGAGCAAGTGACAGCGCTAGCTAAGGCACTCGTGGCCCTGGAGCATGCCTAGGGCGGTAGAAGTAGGGTGGGGGGAGTGGAGGCAAGGAGAGAGCGTCAGCAGCAGCAGCAGAGTGTGCAGAGCAACGGACTGCGCCAAGGCACTCCTGGCTCTAGAGCATGCCTAGGCCTCATAAAACCAGGGTGGGAGGGGTGGGTGTGGGGGTGGAGGCAAGAAGAAGGTGCCAGCAGCAGCAGTAGCACCAGTAGAGCATGCAGCGCAAGCCACAGCGCTAGCCGAGCCTCTGGTTCCAGAGCATTCCAAGGCCTTATAGGAGCAAGATGGGAGACTGGATGTTAGGGGAAGGGGGGCACAGCAGCAGCAGCAGCAGGTGGTGCAGAGCAGGTGACAGCGTTAGCCGAGGCACTCTTGGCTCTAGAGCTTGCCTATGCTCAATGGAAGCAATGTGCGGGACTGGAGGAAATTCGAAGGCAGCCCTCCCAAGCTGACTTGATTCCTTCCTTCTCCTTCCAGCCACTCCGCCTCCCTCCCTGTATCATCCACGACCGTCCATTACACATGGACCAACCAAGCCGTTGAATTATACCCACCCATCGCCTTGACTCAAAGCAAGTCTGATTAATCACTGTTGCACGAAGACTGAAGGTGACAATATTTGCTACAGCCAAGAGTGTGGCAAGGAAACTTGGTAGAATTTCCCATGCTACAAGCAACTTACCTGTGTAAACTGTCCATGCAAGCGAAGGTGTGGAAGCGAGATGGAGGTACATAAAGAGTATGAATGTATGGTATGTGTAGCTCATGTCCACCTCGCACATGGAGAGAGAAGGATGAGAGCACTGTTTCCCAGAATGGGCCACGATTGATTAGGCCTGCCCAATGTTGTGGCATAATATTGACGTGTTGGACAATTCTCACCTTTGTCACATGCGTGTTTTTATACCTATACTTAGTGCAGGTAATTTCCATCTTTCAAACTGTAGCTTTTCATTATGCTGTTTTTCGGATGCATTTCTCCCAATTCCCCCTTCCGTGGCGCACGCAAACGCCTTGCGTGGAACAGGCAGTTGCCCGAACGTGGGGGTTCTGTTCGAACCATACCAGCTCGGCTCGGCACCGTCAAAAATCACCGACCAAATTGTTTGACAAAGCACTTTTAAGCGCTTCGATTGGCTAATTTTGTTGACAGTCACATTCTGCGCGCCATTTACTTGACGGCGCGCTGAACCTGGCTGGCTGTGTCCTGGGGAGGAAGCTGCGGTGCGAGACGCTCCCTACGAGCCGCATTCTTCACTTACCGAACCGCATTCTTCAATTCTCCAAATCGGCAATCTTCCATTTCAACCGAGCTTTGCATAAATTCGTTCCTGCTTCATCTCATCAGTTCGCTAACACAACCTACAGCCTCTGCCATTCGTCCCCCAATTTGCGCTCTAGCGTTTGTTACACACTCCAGATTTCAAGCTCGAAGTTACTTGCACTCTTTTGTTTATCACTGCTCCGCCGTTACTTCGCGTTTCCACCAACCATCATGGGCTCTCACGTGTCCCTCATTGGTGCGCTGCTACTAATGGTATTCCTAGGCCTCTCTCTCTCAGCATCGGAGGCAGCGCGCCCGTACTGCCGCTTCGACGGGAAGCTGGTGGTGAGCAACCTCGTGAAGGAGCTCTCGGCCGCTGGGAACTACTCCACCTTGCTCGCCGCGCTCAAGAAAACAGGTAGGAAGAGCTACATTGGGAAGAGTGACAGAGAGAAGAGTGACAGTGAGAAGAGCGACAGTGAGAAGAGCGATGGCGAGTAAGCCCAATTGAATTGACTGGTATCTGTCTGGCGCTGCTGCTCTCAGCCTCGTGAGGGAGGTCATTCCATGCGATACCTGGAGAATTTTCTAGATATTCTTTAATTCTTAAAATTTTGGAACGTGGCTTCCGGACACGACTCCACTTAGCTCGCCGCGCTCGAGACCACAGCATGTGGTATGGCGGATGATGCGATTTTCAAGGCGCCTCAGAATTTACCTCATGACGGAGAGTTCACATTGCTGTAAACAGCTCAGGGCTTTTGCCTCGCTGTCATATTTTCGCGCCTCGAATATCAGATTTGTTCAGTGTCGTATTTATACGTCTTACCCGTCCGCGTTCCCCGCTCCCACTCCACAATCCCCGTCACACAGATCTCGACGACGATCTGCCCGTTCTCTTCGACTGCTACGAGGCGACCCTCTTCGCGCCCACCGACGCGGCGATGAAGGAGATTCACGCGTAAAATTCCGTGACCCTTTCCCCCCAACCCCGTCAGATCTCGACGACGATCTTCCCGCGCTCTTCAACTGCTACGAGGCGACCCTCTTCGCGCCCACCGACGCGGCATTCGAGGAGCTTTCGAGCGACGCGAGGAGCGCGATAAAGGACGCCAAGGTGCTCCGAGAGGTGGTGCTGCTGCACGTGGTGCAGAAGAAGATGACCGCTGCTGATCTGGCGGCGCTGCCGCAGGGCAAGCAGGTGAGAGCATTGAGCAATGAGGGCAACATGCATGCCTTGAGGCGATCAAGGACGCCAAGGTGCTCCGAGAGGTGGTGCTGCTGCACGTGGTGCAGAAGAAGATGGCGGCTGCTGATCTGGCGGCGCTGCCGCAAGGCAAGCAGGTGAGGAGTTGTGGGCTGTGAGGGTTGAAACAACAGGAGCGCGGCTTGATTTGAGGGGCTACTAGGGGTCATCTCCATTTTCCATGTGGCGTAGTGCGATCTGACATCCTCGTGTGCTTGTTTCCCTCTTCCCCCAGCTCAAGGCAGCAGCAGGCGGGTGCAAGGCACGTCTGGTGAAGGTGTCACCTCGCGGGGCCCAGCCAGTCGAAGTGGAGGCCATGGACGGTCCCCAGGGAGCTTCCCTGGTGGCTCCTGACGTTATCTCGCTGCGAGTGGTGCAAGTGCATGGGGTGGATGACGTCATCCTGCCCAAGAGCCTGCAGAAGGGCGATGGGGATTCTCTCAAGCCCGGCAAGTGCCTTGCATGGCGGGCTTAGGATAGGAGGGGGCTGCGTAGACAACATACTGTAGGAGACGGCTGGCACCCACTACCTGGGTGCGAGTACTTACGTGTGAGTCATGAGGACGAAAGCGGGACTTCCTGACTGGCGAGATGGCAGGGTAGCCATATATGTCGGACTGCCCTATCAGCATTGCCTTGATGCTGTGCTTGTGGCAGCCACGGGAAATATACACGATTCACGGCGTGGTATTGTTAGAACATGCTTTCCCATCCCACTGTTCAGCAAGCAGCAGCAACAAATTCGCACACTCAACACTAACAAAGCATCATATTACAAGAGACATGTCACACCACCTTCAGATGACAACTATGATGAAGCACGGCTCACCAGACTGGGTGCATGTCCATGCACGACCCAACAACGCCCTGTACACTTCATATCTCAAATCATGGATATGGCCGCATCCCGCTGACAGACAGACCCTTCTTTACCTCCACTCTGTCCACTCTACCCTCCCATCACTCCCCTGTCCACTCCACTCTCTCCCACACCCCCTCTGTTCCCAGACAGTACCGATGTTTTTCCTTCAGCTGCCTGCCCTTCGTTCTCCTATGTCTCCTTGAGCGCTCGCGTTAGTTTGTACCAAGGAATGCCGGCCTGTCCACCGTATGTCCCTCCCTGGGCGCCTCTGCCAGTGTTTACCAGGTGTGCGCTAGAGCCACAGCCGTGCGCGAGCAGGGCTCTCTACCTAACGCGTCACTGATACAGGTAGACGCCTCGAGTGACTTATCAAAGTCGATCCCTGTCTGTATCCCTAGCCCATGCAGCACATACAGCACGCCCTCTGTTGCCACATACAACACCCCACCTACCGCACTCCACACCCCATCACAGCTTCGGTGTCTCAGCCAACGTTTGCCTGGTGCGCGCTAGAGCCACAGCAGTACGCGAGCAGGGCTCTCTGCCTAACGCTTGACTAATAAATGCTGACGCCTCAAGCAGCTTGTCAAAGTCTATCCCCGTCTCGATGCCCAGCCCATGCAGCAGGTACACCACGTCCTCAGTTGCCACGTTGCCCGACGCCCCCTTGGCGTAGGGGCAGCCGCCTAAGCCTGCTATGGAAGAGTCAACAGCCGATACGCCCATCTGTGTGTGGAGAGTGGGAGGATGGGAGGGTGGGATGAAGGAAGGGCAGCAGGCAAGCGTGAGCCAGGTGACAGCAGGCAAGCAAGCACATGTGTCTCGCTACCCAGCCCATGCAGCAGGTACACCACATCCTCTTTTGCCACATTTCCCGACGCCCGCTTGGCATAGGGGCAGCCGCCCAACGAGCTATTGACGATTCTACAACCGATACGCCCATCTATGTGTGGAGGAAGCAGGGGGTGGGGGAGGAAGTGTTGTTGAGACGCCATAAGAACCACCGAGACCCAGCACTCGCATGCTAACCACCTGCAGTGCTGCCAGCTCACCTGCAGAGCTGCTAGTATGTTGGCGGGTGCCTGCCTGCCCGTATGTGTCATGGAAGTGGACAGCGGGGAGGGGGGTGAGTCAGCAATCACCAGCATCCATCAGACAAATCAGCAAAATCAGCTCACCTGCAGAGCAACTAGTACGTTGGCAGGTGTCTGCCTGCCCTTAGGTGTCGTGCAAGTGGGCAGCAAGGGAGGGGAGTGATGGGCTGGCTGAGAGGGTCAGAGCCCACAGCCATGCCAAGGGAATACCAGCCGCCTTACCTGTAAAGTCACTAGCACGTTGGCGGGTGTCTGCCTGCCCGTATGTGTCGTGCAAGTGGACAGCGAGGGAGGGGGGTGATGAGTCAAATTCCAGATCACAGGCAGCCATCTGATTCGGCAGCAGCAATAGAAGCACACTGAACCACCTGCAGTGCTACTATAATTTTCGCGGGTGCCTGCCCGTAGTTGTCGTGGAATTGGACAGCGAGAGAGGGGGGTGACAGGTCAACTCAAAGCATGGCAACCACACAGGATACAAGCGCACCGACTCACCTGTAATGCAACGAGGATGTCGGCGAGGGGCTGGCCGTAGGTGTCATGGAAGTGCACAGCGAGGGAGGAGAGTGAGGAGTCTGTGCGCCAAGGGAATGGCAGCCGCCTTACCTGCAGTGCTACTAGGATGTTCGCGAGCGCTTGGCCGTAGGTGTCGTGGAAGTGCACAGCGAGGGAGGAGGGTGGCATGCACGCACACACCGCGTCCAGCATAGGTGCCACCGAGCCTGGCGGGCCGGGAAGAAAGGAGGATGGGGAGGGGGGGAGGGAGGGGGGAAGGAGGAAGGACGGGGTTGTTGTGCCTCTGTGTGTGCATGGATGCAGCGAGGGAGGAGGGCGGCATGCATGCACACACAGCATCCAGCATAGGTGCCACCGAGCCTGGTGTTTTGGGGGAGCGACGGGGGGCGAAGGGGGGGGGGGAGAGGCGGGGCTGTGTGTCTCCCCTTCGTGCATGGATGCATGCAGCACGCACACATGGCATCCAGCACAGGTGCCACTGAGCCTGGTGGCGTGCGGGCAGGGGCTCAGTGGGGGGTGGAAGGGGCACGAGAAAAGCATGGGTGCTGTGTGTGTCTGTGTGTGCACGAAGCAGCAAGGGAATGCCCCTGTCCCTCCATATATCCTCCGATACAGCCCTACAGCACCGAACAACACCGCATAGTACTGCACACCACCATTTTGGACCTTACCAGGAGTGAGGACCCTGATAGAATCAACCAGGGAGCCGTAGCATCACCCCATGGCGTGCAGTGAACAGATGATGGCACACGTACCCACAGAACCTCACAGCACCGCACCGCACTGCAACACTTTGAAGCTCATCAGGTGTGCCGACACTACTGGTATCACCCAGAGATACCTCAGAGCACCCCACGTGCAGTCGCAGGTGAGAGACTCACAGCACCTCACAGCACCACTATCAACCCTCACCAGGAGTGCCGATGCCGATGGTATCACCCAGAGACACTTCATAGCACCCCATGTCGTGCAGAGCCTTGGCCACCCTCGCCACTGCTGCTGGCTCCACGTGGCCCTCATAAGGGCACGCCACCGCACATGACACGTATCTGAGAAGGCAATGGTAGGAGGGGGACGGAAGGAGTGCTTGTTGGGCGTCTCACAACATTGGCCACTCTCGCCTCTGCTGCTGGCTCCACTCATATGGGCACCCCACCGCACATGACACGTAGCCGCACATGACACGTAGCCGCACATGACACGTAGCCGCACATGACACATAGCCGCACATGACACGTAGCCGCACATGACACATAGCCGCACATGACACATAGCCGCACATGACACATAGCCGCACATGACACATCGCTGTAGATAGAATGGTGAGGAGTGGAGTGGATGGAAGCGGGAGAAGTGTTATAAGGCGCCTCAGAACATCGGCTAACCCGTTACCCATTCTCTCCACTGCTGCTGGGGCTATGTCGCCTTCATAAAGACAGCCCACCACATATGATATATCGCAACCCAAATGGGGAGGGGACAAGAGTGGACGACGAGTGAGGTGATGGCGGGAGTGGATAAGAGCGAATGGCGAAACATCGTGTAGCTAAGTATGGAACATCGTGCAGCGAATGGTGAAACATCATGGTGAAACACGGTGAAACATCGTGTGCACAAGTATGGAAGGAACACGGAGCGAGGAGGAAGGACCTCGGAGTATGGTGGAATGGCACTCTCTCTCAACAAGCTTGCATCTCTCGAGCCATTTCTCCCCAGCGGCATTCATCCTCCCCCATACTCCACTCACCCTCTCACGGGAATGCCTCTGTCCCTGGCAGCATCGCACACCGCTCTGTACCGCTCCAAGCTCTCCTCCACCGAGCAGTTGATGTTCTTCTTGGAAAACGCCTCAGAGGCCGCAGCAAAGACCGCCACCTCCTTGGCCCCTGCTGCCACGGCGTTCTCAAGGCCTCTTAGGTTGGGCGTTAGCACGGGCAGCTTGGTGCGCCCGTTGCCCTGCACTCTCTGCATCACCTCCGGTGCGTCTGAGAGCTGCAGGAAGTGGGGGGGGGGCAGGAGAAGCGAAATAAGGGAAAGGAGGTGGGGGAAGAGGCGTAAGGACGGGCAGCTTGGTGCGGCCGTTGCCCTGCACTCTCTGCATCACCTCCGGTACGTCTGAGAGCTGGGGAGGGAGAGGCGGGGAGCGGGGTGGGTGGAGGGGCGAGCAGGGTCGACACTGAAGGCGATTCGAACGGCCTCAGCGGGTGACAGACAGTCAGCACGAGTGGCTTGGTGCGCCCGCATGGAGATGAGACTGAAACAGGAAGTAACCGACCCCAGCATTTTAACTTTTAACCGTCCTGCGTAACCGACCTGCGTAACCGACCTGCACACCCTAATAAAAGGTGCGCCAGCATGGAGATGAGACTGGAACAGGGAGTAATGATGAGAACAGGGGAATCCGTTACAGCCTACACAGGGAACCACGGGCAGCCCAGCAGCCATAAGTCTGTGGATAAGCTCCACTTTCACCCCCACCGGCATCTGCTGCCTCTCATACTCGTTATAAGCAGCCGCAGCACTAAGAGCACTCACCTGGGGGATCCACTTGGGGGACACGAAGCTGGTAGCCTCCACAACGGGCAGCCCAGCGGCCATGAGTCTATGGATGAGCTCCACCTTCACCCCCACCGGCACCTGCTGCCGCTCGTTCTGCAGCCCGTCCCTGGGTCCCACCTCCACCACCTTCACATACCGCGGCAGCCACCGCAGTGGCTCGGGAACTCCACTCGCACTGGCTTTCCTGCCGCTGCTGGCACTGATGGCACCGGTGCCAACACTGTCCATGCTGCTGCCGTTGCCGCTGCCATCTCTGCTTTGAGTGCCGCTCTCCCTGCGCTGCTCCCCGCGGGGGCTGTACTCCATCCGCTGCTCCCCTCTGGGACTGAACTCCCTGCACTGCTCCCCTGGGGGGCTGACGACCACCTTCTGCGTCTCCCCTCGCGGGCTGAACCCCCTGCGCTGCTGCTGCCCGCGCGGGCTGTTCTCGCAGCTGCTGGTGGCGGCTGCTGCCGCCTCGTGCAGCTCTCGCCACCATGCAGCGCCGCCCAGCCCCGTGCCAGAGCCCGCCGCGAATTGGATCGCCTGCCAGCTGCCACCCCTTCCTAGCAACGACTGCACGCTGCTGCTGCTGAAGCTACTGCTGCTGCCAAAGCTGCTGCTGCTGCTGCTGCTGCTGCTGCTCATGCTTCTCGATAGAGGCAACTGTGAAAGAAACGAGATGCCCTGAAATGGAGAGGCGTGCACGTCTAGACCAGCGCACACGTGGCTGACTCCTATTGGACCTGCTAAGGCGGCGGTCGTTGCTGCAGCCGTGGTTGCCGCTGCTGCTGTGGCTGCTTGGACCGCCATAGAACTGCAAGGGCTCGTCGTATGGTGCGAGCTGTAAGCGTCTAGGTGGTGGGGACTGTGAGAGTCGAGATGATGAGAGCCCAGGTGGTTAGGGCTGTCAGCGTTTAAGCGGTTAGGGCTGTGAGCGGTGGACGCAGGAGGAGTCGGCACCACCATGTTGGACGACACTGGTGCTTGCTGTGACGCATGAGGGGCTTCCAATCCCATCGCGCCACGTGTCGTCCAACGAGCTGCGAAGATCTGAGCTGCTGGTCTGGTGGAGGGGATGCGCGCGCTGGAAGCAGCGGGACGTAACGCGAAAGTGGGGGGGGGGAGACGAAAATTCACATGAGAAAGCTTATGACAAAACCGCTTACATTCACGTCAGAAGGCTCACGACAAAGCTATGAAATTCGGCTTCTTAATATCCCCACAAATGGGAGTCGCGGCCGCCAATGACTCTACTGAGATACGACAATGCGTTCGTACCTCGTCCCTGAATAATATCCGAAATAAAGTCGTCTGCCGGCTGTTCTTAAGAGCGTGTCGGCGCGACCCATAATTACCCTGTGCGCGTGGTCAACAAACGATTCGGCTCGACTATGAGAGTCCTGATGTAGCTACTATGGGGGATGCAGGCGAGTTCGCACATGCTACACGAGTCGCTAGTGTAACTAACGGCTACCAGGGGATTCGCAGTCACAAACCTACACCGCACGGAACCGAAATCGAAGAGACAGGCCGTGAGAAACTGCATCTTACGCTTTATGATTGAACAAGGATGAGTTGGTGTGGCTTGATTGGGCAGGAGGTTGACAGGGAGCGTTGGTACCGGGAGATGAGAATTTCATCAGGAGGTTGCACTAGAGTTCAATGGCGAGACTGGATGGGAGGCATGCTGGTGTGGCTGGTGTGAGGTGGAGGGATTCGCAACCCAGTGACTGACAGTGGGAATCTGTTGAGCAATTGAGGCGACAACTCCAATGCTACCTTTAGCGCGTACAAACGTAACCGCTGAAGCCCGAGAAGCCCAGGAGGGTTCGTATGGTCTGGACCTTTTGAATCTCAATCGTCGAAAGTCACGAGATTCCCGATTTCCCTGCCTTGCCAAAGCCTGCTGACAGGATGATGATGATAAAGGAGTCACGCCGAAGCGGTTTGTGGTCCTAGGAACGTCATCGCACCTACCTACAGCAATTCCTCGTAGGCGCCACGTCAGAAGGAAGTTGACTGGCGTGGCCCACATAGGGGCGGAAGGGTGGGATGCTTGTGCTACGACTTGCGGTATACACAGCCCTCAAAATGCGGTGTCGATAAATTATATATACCAACGAAGCATCTCCCATCGCGTATTGCGCGCATCTTTGGAGGCTTAGCCATTCCACGTGTAAAATTCCGATTCGCCTGAACGTCACATGAAGCATTGCCGATCAACCAATGTGCAGTCACTGCGTCTGACCTGGACATTGGAGTGATTTACCTGCCCAGAAAACATCTTCGACGGGCAGATACAGAATCCTTTGTTAGACGGACGGATCGATGACAGGTGCGGATCGACCAAACCAACGGCAAAACTTCTCGTGCTGACCGAATTTCTGAATCCACAGCAGAATGGGACTCTGGTCAGAAGAACTCAGCATCCAGGATCCAGGATTCAGGGCAGGAGGGCCGATGCCTGATGGAGCCCTCTCCCCTCTGCTTCGCCTTGGGTTTGCCTTGCCCAGCTCTGCTCTGCTCTTTCCTGACTGGGTCTTTTATTCAGTTGCATTTCCCATTTTCATCACATTTCTTGTTCTTTCAAAATCTTCTGGCTTTTGGGTGCTAACCAGAGCCCCAGTCCTCATAATCAGCTTTCCGTTTCCCGGTTGATAAATCAGCCGTTCAGAGAGCTGATTCGCGTGAGCGTGAGCCGCTGCATTTCCTCCTGCATTCTTGCACCAGCCAGCCATGGCGTCCGCCTCCGCGTCCCTCCTTCAAAAGGCATTCCTCACCGGATCTCCCCTTAAACTCTCCGCATCCTCCGGCACCGCTCTCGCAGCCACCAATGTCTCCCTCGCAGCGCCATTCCGGAAGACTCCAGTCGTCCGGGCCATGTCCGCTGGCAGCCAGGTCGGCGAGATCGCGAGCGTCAAGGCCCGTCAGATCATCGACAGCCGCGGGAATCCGACGGTGGAGGTTGATCTGATGACTTCCAGGTCCAGCACGGTTTTCCGCGCGGCCGTCCCCAGCGGAGCGTCCACGGGGATCTACGAGGCCCTGGAGCTCCGCGACGGCGATAAGAGCAAGTTCGGTGGGAAGGGCGTTCTCAAGGCCGTCGCGAATATTAATAACATCATCGCTCCTACGCTGATCGGTCTCGACCCGAGGTAAATCACACAGGATCGATCCTGCAGAAAACAGAGCAGAAATCATTGGAACAGATCGGTCTCGAAATTATTCTGAGCGGAACTACAGAAAACAGAACTGCAGAGACGGCAATGCGCGTTGGATTTCAGCTCCAAAGCCTTCTTAAACGTCTTCAATCCCCCTCGTCATACCCTCTCCTCGCGTCTCTCCTCTTCTTTCTACAGGAATCAGCCCGCCATCGATAGTCTCGTGCTGGAGCTCGTCGGCACGCCCAACAAGTCGTTACTCAAAGCCAATGCCATCCGCGAACCGTCCCTCCCCCCATCCCCTTGCCCTCTCCTCTTTCCCCCTCCCTCTCCTTCTTACCAGGGATCAGCTCGCCATCGACTCTCTGATGCTGGAGCTCGTCGGCACGCCCAACAAATCGTCACTCAAAGCCGATGCCATCCTCATACCACCCTTTTCCCCTCCCCCCTTCCCCCGTTTCCCCCATCCCCACCCCCCAGGGACCAGCGCGCCATCGACTCGCTCATGCTGGAGCTGGACGGCACGCCCAACAAGTCGTCGCTGGGAGCCAACTCCATCCTCGGCGTCTCCCTCGCCGTCGCCCACGCCGGTGCTGCCGCCAGCTCCGTTCCCCTCTACAGGTTTGCTCCGCTATAAGCATACGCCTCAACCCCACGTCACATTGCCTCAATAAATACACCCACGATTCGTCTACTCCCCTTGACATGCCACGGTGCCATGCAGCATCCGTCTTGCTGGTCTCTCCACTGCCGTAACCAGCCATCTCTCCTACCCGCCATGAACGCCGTCAGCCCTGTCCTCATCTTCCCTCCCCCGCTTCCCCCCTCCTCCCCCGGCATCTCGCCACCCTGGCAGGAGTAGAGCAGCTGGTGATGCCCGTGCCAGCGATGAGCATCATCAACGACGGCAGCCACGTTCCCCCCCGCTCTCGTGTTCCCCCCCCAATCACCCCAGGCACCTCGCTTCCCTGGCGGGCGTGCTGCAGCTCGTCGTGCCCGTGGCCATGCCCGCCACGAGCGTCGTCAACGCCGTTCTGGCTGCTCCTCGTCCTCGTCCCCGTCATCCGCGCCTCAAACATTCGCTCTTTCCCCTCTCCCCAGGCATCTCGCCACCCTGGCGGGCGTGCAGCAGCTGATCATGCCCGTGCCGGCCAAGAATGTCATCAACGGCGCTCATTCCACCCATGCCTCCATCTCCCCTCTCCCCTCTCCTCTCCCTCCCCAGGCACCTCGCCACCCTGGCGGGCGTGGAGCAGCTGATCATGCCCGTGCCGGCCATGAATGTCATCAACGGCGGCAGCCACGCGGGCAACAAGCTGGCGATGCAGGAGTTTATGATCCTGCCCACCGGGGCCTCGTCCTTCTCAGAGGCGATTCAGATGGGCTGCGAAGGTGAGAAACCGTGCTGGTATGGTGTGAGTTGACACGCCTCAGAGGGAGCCACGCGGGCGACAAGCTGGCGATGCAGGAGTTTATGATCCTGCCCACCGGGGCCTCGTCCTTCTCAGAGGCGATCCAAATGGGCTGCGAAGGTGAGAGGCGATGAGATGTAGAGGTGTGAATGCTGTAAGCCTAGGCCACTCAAGCAGAGGTTTGTCGCTCCTGAACCTTGGTGTCCCCCATCCTCCTCTACTCTGAACGACTCGAGTCAGGTCTCCCTTATCTCTTCCACGCATCACCACCAACCCCTTCTCCAGTGTACCAGGTGCTGAAGGGCATCATCAAGAAGCGGTACGGGCAGGACGCGTGCAACGTGGGCGACGAGGGCGGGTTTGCGCCCAACATTCAGGACAACAAGGAGGGGCTCGTGCTGCTGGTCGACGCCATCGATAAGGCGGGGTACACCGGCAAGGTGAGGGCAAGGGGACCTTGGCTTGGTGAGGGCTGGGTGGGCAAGGTGTGGGCGAGGGGATAGGTGTGTGATGGCGCTTACATATGGCAGGGTGCACCGGGAGGTGGGGTGAATAGGTATGTATGGCACAGATTAAGTGGGGTAGAGCATCAAGGGGGGGGGAGGGGTTCAGGGAATAAATCCTAAATACGAGGGGTACAAGGAGCATGGATGCCTCAGCTTTCGAGCTCGGACCCGGGATGACCAGTACAACCATGTGTGGAACTCTTGAGTGAACTCAAAAATGTGTGGAACTTGATTCAATTCCAAAACACAACTTAGTGTCGCACCTACTCACCATGCTCCTCTCCGCATCACATCTCAGCCCCGCCCCGCATCACTTTCCTCCATGTTTTCTCATCGCCACCCCTTACCCCCCAACCCCAACCCAACCCCATCCCCACCCCCGCCCTCCCTCCGGCTTCTACCCCGCTTTAGCAGACCACAGGTACGACCTCAGCTTCAAGCACAAGCCCAACGACAGCAACCCCTCTCTATCCATCCCCACCCCTCCGCTGCTTACTTTCTCCCTCCCCTGTTTCTCCTCCGTCTCCTCCCCTCCATCAGGTGAAGCTGGGCATAGACGTAGTGGCATCGGAGTTCTACACCAAGGACCACAAGTACGACCTCAACTTCAAGCAGAAGCCCAACGACGATATGAACCCCCCTCTCCACCCCTCTCCGCCCCTCTGTTTGTACCTCTCTTCCCCCTCAGGTGAAGCTGGGCATGGACGTGGCAGCATCGGAGTTCTACACCGCGGACCACAAGTACGACCTCAACTTCAAGCAGAAGCCCAACGACGGCACCGACGTCATCACCGGGCAGCAGCTGGCAGAGCTCTACGAGAGCTTCGTTAAGGAGTTCCCCATCGTCTCGATCGAGGACCCCTTCGAGCAGGACGACTGGGTGAACTGGGCGGCGCTGAAGGCGCTGCTGGACGTGCAGATTGTCGGGGACGACCTGACGGTCACAAACCCCAAGAGGATTGCGGATGCCGTGCAGAATAATGCCTGCAATGCGCTGCTGCTCAAGGTAAGGAGTTGCCCAATGGTAGCTGGTAGGGATGTTGTGCACTCAAGGCGCTGCTGGACATGCAGACTCTGGGGGATGATCTCACGGTCACAAACCCTAAGAGGATGGCTGATGCTGTTCAGATCAACGCGTGCAATGCGCCCCTGCTAGATGTAAGATGGTGCTGAAGGTAAGGGGGGGGCTGAGATTCCATTGGCTTGAATACAGTGGCACAGCTGCTGGGGTGTGGGTGACAATTGGTTCCTGACAAGTCCTCCTCTTGTCAAACGCCCCCTCTTCCCTCTCCCCCCCGTCCAATTTGTGTTCGTGCAGGTGAATCAGATCGGCAGTGTGACGGAGAGCATCACAGCAGCGCAGGACGCCAAGGCAGCAGGGTGGGGGGTGATGGTGTCCCACCGCAGTGGTGAGACGGAGGACACCTTCATCGCCGACCTCTCTGTGGGCCTTTCTGCCGGCCAGGTGCGTGCTAGTCGTCTTGAGGCACCTCAAAGGCAGCAGGATGGGGGGTGATGGTGTCACAGCAGTAGGTGAGGCTTGGGTGTATTTCGACCTTGACATGGATGGGTGTGAAAATGCGCTGGTCAGCCAACTGTCTCCATCTCTGCCTCCTCTGGCTGCCTCACTACGTGCACAGATCAAGACAGGAGCGCCATGCCGCAGCGAACGCCTGGCCAAATACAATCAGGTATGTTACCACATTGGGTAATCGGTTTGCCTTACATTGGTTGGTTAGTATGGTCGCTTGTGTGTTCCATCCCAGAATTTATTGCCTACGAATTTGCACTGCTTTATAATTTATGCATTGGCAGTTGCTGAGGATCGAGGAAGAGCTTGGATCTGCTGCGATTTATGCTGGAGAGAAGTTCAGAAGCCCATGATCAGGAGGATATGCTGCCACTGTTTTACTTGCCGGCTGTATATGAGAGTGCATGGAACCAAAGGGCAAAGCCCGATGGTTTTCAATTTGCCCTCCAGAAATCGGAGGGGAGTGTATGTGGTTGGAAAAGCAGACTTCAAGCCCATAGTGAAATCTATGTCACATTTCCACATAGGTATGAATCAGTTAAGTCACCAAGGATTGTTGGTGTTATGAATGAACGAGCAGAATAGCGCGGAAATTAATGACGAGGTGTTCAATCACTGAATGACGATACAGGGAATGGCAAGCTTAGATATAGAAACACCAGAGCCAGTCTAACCATGAGATGGGACAGTTCGGGAAAGAGATCGAAGGGTCTCGAAGTGACGAAGCGAGGCTCGGAGTGTCAAACATATATATATGTTATATTTGTGTAGACTGTATAGGTTCGAATCTTAGAGTGTACAACACTTAGGCTTATACCCTTGTACGTTTTTCTCTCGATATTCAATCCTCGTATCACACTTGGTAGGTAGGTCCCGCCGCCCACGCTTCCGCCCTAGGCCCTCGTCGCGCCGCCCCTAGCCCGTCGCGCCCGTCCTAGCCGGCCCCCTGAGCCGTTCGTGCCCGTCCTAGCCGGCCCCCTGAGCCGCCGCGCCTGATCCTAGCCGGTTCCCTGCGCCATTCGCGCCCGTCCTAGCCGGCCCCCTAAGCCATCGCGCCCGTCCTAGCCGGCCCCCTGAGCCGTCGCGCCTGTTCCTAGCCGGCCCCCTGCGCCGTTCGCGCCTGTCCTAGCCGGCCCCCTGAGCCGTCGTGCCCGTCCTAGTCAGCCCCCTGCGCCGTCACGCCCGTCCTAGCCGCCCCCCCCTGAGCCGCCGCGGCCGTTCTAGCCGGCTCCCAGCGCCGCCGCGCCCGTCCAAGCCATCGCGCCCGTCCCTAGCCGGCCCCTCGCGCCCCCGTCGCGCTCTCCCCGTACCGTACAGGAGTTTCTAGAGGCCGTCGTCAAGCGCTATTCCACCCCCCCTGCTGCCTCTGTAGGTCGCCTGATCCTGCCGATGCTCTTCCCTGACCTTGCGTCCTTCCCTACTGTCGCTGACCTAGCCGCTCACCTGCGCACGATAGATGCGACCTGGCGTGCTGCCTGCACTGAGACCCAGCTTAGAGCCTTCCAGCCGCCCCTCTGCTCTGCCCTCTACCTGCTTGCCACCCGCCTCCCTGATCGTCTTGCTACTGCGCGCGACCACTTCCTTAGCACCCACCCTGGTGAGCTCACTCTCACTGACTTTGTCGACACCCTGACTGCCATAGAGACCCGTCAGCGCTCTATCGCCCAGACCAGCGGTACTGTGCCGGTCCCTATCTTTCAGAGTTGTGCCCCCGCTCAGTGCACCTTCTCCGACGGTTCAGTCGCTGTGGCTGAGTCCGCAGCTGCAGCGCAGATCTGTCCCGGGAAGGGCCGCCGCCCCAAGGCTGGGCGCGGCGGTGGGGGTGGAGGTGCAGGTGGAGGTGGTGGTGGAGTCGGGTCGCCTAGTGGTAGCGCTGACAAGGGGACCCTGACAGGTGCAACCGAGCAGCCTCCTCAGCAGCCGCAGGTGTCGCAGCCGGACACGCACCAGCTGCAGTAGCAGAGGCGGGCGAGTGGCCTCCCGCCCGGGTGGCCTGGCGCTGGTGGTGGCGGTGGACGTGGTGGTCGTGCGCGTGGTGAGCTGCCGGGTGGCGGGTTGGGTGACGCGCACTGTCAGTACCAGCTCCAGACCGGTCCTCGCCGTGGTTCTGTTTGCGGTATGATCGGTCACACCTCCGTCCGCTGTTTCCGTTGCCTGGACGACCTGTTTCGTCAGCGCTTCGACCTCCCCGACTGGCATAGCTTGTTTCGCGTAATGTTCAGATCTTTGATATGGACATGGATGAGATTGTTGCTACCCTGCATGTGATGTATGCTGATGACTCTAGTGTGACTGCTTCTTACTACCCCTTGTTGCCTAGTGTAGGGATGTCTAGTCTCGCGAGTACATCAGGCATTGGGTTAGTGCTGGGAGGACGCAGGCCGGTGGTCCTTACTGGGCACACAGACGCTTTTTGGGCAGACGACGCTGAGACCCTTAGTTCCTCGCAGGGCTACTGCTTTAGCCTTGGTTCAGGTGCTATCTCATGGAGAGCTACTCGCTCCTAGTTTGTTGCCCAGTCTAGCTGTGAGGCCGAGATCTACGCCGGTGCCATGGCGGCACAGGAGCTCCACCGGCTGACCTTCCTGCTCACTGACTTAGGTGAGCGGCCTAGCTCTGCGCCAGTCCTGTACGCTGACAACATGGCCATGATGCTCTTGTGTCAGGAGCCTCGACTTGAGGGCAGAGCAAAGCACATCCAGCTGCGGTACTTCCTCCTGCGCGAGCTGCAGCAGCGTTGCGAGGCTCGCGTAGTACACTTGACCTCTGGTGCCAACACAGCTGATATCTTACGAAGGCCCTTGCGCCTAAAGATCATCAGCGGCACTGTTTAGAGGTAGGCCTTGTTCTTGTTACCTCTCACCTACTAGGGCCTTGATTATGTACTGACCTTTATATATACTTTTGTTTATTCTTGACTGGCCTTGTGGCCTCTCCCAATGGCTGGACTAGTAGTGCCGCCCTGGCCTTGCCCTTGTACTGGTCTGTACTTGTTTGACTGATCTTTAGACCCTTGACTCAGAGGTTGGACTAGTAGTGCCGCCCTAAGTTGCCGTTTCTCTCATCAGGAACTGCACCTATGCAGTCTAGGGGGTGTGCCAAACATATATATAGGTTATGCTTGTATAGACTGTATAGGTTCGTATCTTAAAGGGTACAATACTTAGGCTTATACCCTTGTACGTTTTTCTCTTGATATTCAATCCTACGTTAAGTCGGAGAACTCCCGAAGGTCGAAGTAGAAGGTATGGAGAGGCCGAGGCGGTTCTGTCAGAAAGGTCCGAAACCGTCCCGAGGCTTCGGGTGTGTTCGAGCGTACTCGATAGCAGTACCGCTCGGTAAGGAATAAAAAATTCCTTACACCACCCCCCCCTTTAGCGAAGGTGATCTATATCAGCCACGTGCTTGCGGGCCAAAAAATTCCCAAGTATCGAAGGTGATTGTATCTGGTCCGAGGGCACCCACGTGTCGTCCTCACTGATACGATTGGTCCATCGTATCAGGAAGTCAACGTGTCGTCCTTGGCCGTCGATACAAATCCTATGGCTCAAAATCTTCGAAGGCTCGATGGTCGTCTCTGCAGGTGGCCGTACATCCGGGACCAATCGCTGTTGAGCGATGTCCGATGTATCAGGTATGAAAAGTCGCAACAGGCTTACGTGGAACTTGTTGTGAATACGCCAATCGTCAGGTAGGCGCAACTGTGCGGTCACCGGCATCACCATCTTCATGATCTTGAATGGGCCACAGAAACGTGGTCGTAATTTTGTCGGTAGTGGCAATCGTAAATTCTTGGTGTCCAAAAGGACTAGTTGCCCTGATGCCATTGTAATATCCCGTCGATGTAAATCCGCATACCGTCGAGCAGTAGCGTTCGCCTTGCGAATAAGTTCGACAGCTTTATCTCGGGCAGTCTGTTATTCTTAGACGAACTGCTGCAATCGTGGTACTTGACTCTCGACATTGGTGGAGATAGGTACTGTGGGGTCCATCCCGTAATTGAGATAAAACGGGGAGTGATTAGTCGTGGCTGAGGGCGTGTTGTTGTGGGAGAATTCCAACATGGGAAGAGCGTTCTCCCATTCATTTCGGTCGAGGCAGTTTGTTCGAATCAGCTGCTCCATCGTTTGGTTTGTCCTTTCTGTCTGGCCGTCTGTTTGGGGATGATACGCGGATGAGAATTGCAGGTACGTGCCGTACCGAGCTCACGTGTCCTGCCAAAAAATTGACGTGAACTTCGGGTCTCGATCGCTAATGATTGCTGCTGGAATCCCGTGGAAGGTGAACAACGGTCGAGATGAACAATCAAGCGGTTTCTTCGGCTGTGAGGGTTGTACGACATGGTGCGAAATGCGCCATTTTCTTCAATTGGTCGACGACAACCAATACTGCATCGTTTTCTCTGGATTCGGCTGGTAGACCTGTGACGAAATCCATCATCACGTGTTGCCATGGGCGTTGAGGTGGCTCAAGGGGCTGCAACAGCCCTGCTGGTCGCTGATATAATGATTTCATTCGTTGGCAGATCGGACACGCGGCCACGTAACGCTGCACGTCCGGCACCATATCTGGCCAGTAATAAAACCGCTGCAACTCCTTCAGAGTTTTATCAACCCCGAAATGTCCCGATAAATTTGAATCGTGGACTTCTTGAATTAGTAATTCGCGAAGTAGACGATAACTTGGGACCCAAATTCGATCGGTTCCGCTTCGTAAGTAATAGACACCCTTTCCGTGTAATGATTGGGAGATGGCCGTCATTTACGAAGAAGGGGTCAGTCGAATACCCGTGGGTAAATAGTCCACTCAGTAGCGGGTTTCTCTGGGCGACTAGTACTGCTGCGAGTTGGGCAGACGGTCTGGAGAGGGCATCGACAATATTGTTGGCGCCCTTTTTATACGTGATCTTGTACGTGAAGTTGGACTCCAAATAATCCAGCTAGCGTACCTGCCGCGGGTTGAGATTCGGCTGCGCTCTCAGGTGCTATAGAGATTTGTAATCGGTTCGCACCGTCACGTCTGCTCTTGTCAGGTAGCACCTCCAAATTTTGAACGCGTGGACAATCGCAAGCATCTCCTTGTCGTGTACAGGGTAGTTGCGCTCATCAGATTGCATTTTCCGAGACTAGTACGCGATTGGTTGAAGACCATTGCCGAAATCTTGCATGAGCACGGCTCCGATGGCGATGTCACTTGCGTCGGCAAGGACTTCGAAGGGCTGTTCCGGGTCAGCGATGTGAAGTACTGGTGGCGACATTAAAAGAGCGTTTAATGCCTCGAACGCAGCTTGCTGATTCTCCCCCCACTCGTAAAAAGTCCCATTCTGTAGTAGGTCAGTTAGAGGTCCAGTTAACCCCGCCATGTTGGGTATAAACCGCCGCACGTACAGCGACGGAACAATCTGTCCACATGTTGGCCATTAACTGGACAAAATCAGAGCCCATGAGAAAATGATCAGGTTTTTTATAACCCGGTTTTAAGGTTCTAGTTGCCACTGTTGTAAGCTTGTGTGACAAATGAAAACTTGTCCAAAAAACAAACAAGAACAGAACATAGCACAACGAAGATCACAAGTGGTACACTCGGACAGAATGTTCCCG